CATTTTGCATAAAAAATAAGGAAGAAGTTTAATAGGTGAAAAACAATTCAGAGCAGTAAGAAGGGAATCACTGTGTAAGTTTTCAGGAAGGCTAATTGGAAATCATGATACATGGAGAAGAAATGGCAGTACATATGTCTCCAGACACAGATGTAGGTGAAGAATGAGCTGATAGCACTGGAAATGTTCTGGTAGTTGTAACCAGAATCAAGTAAGTTCAAGTGTAGGTTAAAGACCATCTGCAGATACTCCTAATGCATAAAAAAGCAATTTTCAAGTCAAATAGGCAAAAACTAGAATTCTTGGGTAGGGCAAAAGGCATTTAAGTTAAGCTATAAAATGAGTTTGTCAGAACAGGCAGGAAGGGTGGGCCAGGAAACATCCATCAGAGCAAAGATATGAATAGCAGAGCAAATTCAGGAGGTAATTTATATTAAAGAAAGACAAAAGATAGGCAAAAAAAAAACCTGTCAGGATTCATCAGGTAACAAACCACAACTAAAACCTTGTACTGTAATACGCATCAAAAAGAGGTATCTGTCCATCCAAGATGAAGTTATGGCAAATAGTCTGTTTTATTACACCCTTCATCCAGAAGAGAAGACAATTACAGCAAGTAGTAAGGTGGTCAGTAAAAGATATTTGCACTGGATAGTCCATTGTTAACATAACAAATTTCTGTACTTGCCTCAATCAGTCCTTATCCAAACCACCATAAAATATTAAGCAGAACTAAAAAGGTGGAAATTTTCAGAAGCACTACGGAAGTGATGCAACAGGACGTAAGTATTTTTCCCGCTTTGAAGTAATAACATCTATTTCAAGTTCTGTAAAGAGCTTAGACTTCAGTAGTCTGTGGTAGTGATAAGTAAACAATGTTTTCTAGAATTTCAAGTCTGTACACCATGAGGAAGTAATTTATTGCAAAGATGAAATATTGTGCTGAATTTTCTGTCTAAAGTGGGAAATTTCTGGAGGGTGGCACAAAAATATAGCTTCCTCAACAATATCTTGCATTGGTTGATTAATGAGAGTCTATTTGAAACATGTTTAGGTAGGGGACAGTTGCCTTCTACCAATCTTCAAAGATGTAAAAATTGTTAAAAACAGAATACATCGTAAATCTTCAAGTCCCATACTGATAGAGTGCAATATCAAAAACTAATAATAAAATCACTGATACCTAAAGGAATAAGCACAGTGGAATTCATACTGGTTGTGTATCTGAGTATTACAACATGCAGTACTTGCAAAAGTAAGTATTCAAAAACCAGCATTACCTGTACAAAGGTATTGCAGTAGATGCCATCAATCCTAGCTCTGAATAAAAGTTGTGATAATTTCAAAGACCAGCATATGGAAACCTTAACAGATACCATCTTTTTAAGGATCTGATTATCTTTTTCTCAGAGCAGACAGTGATCTTGTAGCAAAAGGTGACATTATCACTCTGTTTTATTATTACTGAGCACTGTGCCAAGTGGGAGCAGTATCACATACCACTCTAGGTGACAGGATTTGTAGAATTAAATTTGAGACTTTTTCACAAGCCTGTAATCTGTCTAGTGATAATCAGAGCTCTCATGGGGTTAATTGCTTGGTTGCTAAATCTTTGTCTTGTCATACATGATGAACTTTTTCATATCTCCCAAGTATTTCCTTTCACTTCATAAGTTATTGTATGAGTCCCCATTGGGAAAAAAAGGAGCAATTCTGGGCAACAGGGAGTGTGGTCAGCCCTTCTCAACCCCCAGGTGTCTGCTAGCTTGGCAGATGCTGACCCAAGAGCTATGGACATGTGGAAAAGGGAGGTAGGAAGGACTGACTCATAGTCCAGGAGAGTTATCAGGGAGCTACAGAACAGAGATGTTCAAGCCTGCCATTTATGCTAAAGGGTTAGCTTAAGTGAAGAAAGTATGTGTGGAGGAATACTTTCAAGGAAAGCTGCTGCAGGCATTTGTCCCAGAGGAAAGCCAAATATTTGCACGGATGGCAGACCTGGGTACAACACACCCACCTCTGGCATGTGCAGTTCCAGCTCCAGCTGAACATATGCCTTGGAAGAGCAATTGCACTGTCATTGCCTGTACTCAGAAGGAAAACAAACCAATCTGCAGAATATATGAAACAACTTGTAGGTCTGAGAGACATGAGAGGTTTCAGACATGAGAGACATAACAGTTCTTCAAAATTTCTTCATGCTCTCCTGCTCCTTCTGCAGCAAGTTTGTTCTGGGTGTTGTGTAAATTAATTCAGTTTGCTACTTCAGAGCCGGACAGAAATCTCAGTGCAGTAGAAAAATTATTAGTAGCTCTCTCTGTTAAGCTCATTAGTAGCTTATTTAGCACATTATCCTCTTTATGTTGCCCAAATAATGTGCAGTGAACAAAGCCCATATCCTAGATCTTTTCCATATTTTTGTAGGATTATGATGTGTTGATAGGTTCATGGAATTTAAGCCACTCTGTCTACTTAAGTACAGATTCACCAAAATCATCTAGGAAGTACTTCTTCTATACTTCACTTAGGTCAGCTCTTTTTTTGTGAGCTATAAACACACATACACACTCAACAAAACAGTACATAAGAGCAGCTTATAAAGATGCAGTTGTCATTAGTGGTGTAATGACCATATGCTGTTCTGCTGTGCCTTCAAATTGATATTTAAAACCATAAATGTAACCTTTGCATATCAGTGTCAGGCACTTTGTCCTCACTCTGGCCGTGGAGCTTACCTGGATCTGTAAGAGCCAATGTGTGAACTTTTGGCAGCCCCTCACACGCACAAGGGCAGTGTCAATAATTCTGTGGAGCTTTATACCATTTACAGAAATGTACTTTATGAATGTAGAATTCTTTGAGTGTCAAGCCTTTCCAATGACAATATTAATTTAGTGCTTTGTAAATGTTATTTAGTCTTCATAACAGTGTTTGGATGTAGTACAGTTATTTCCATTGGAATGGCCTTGGATATTATGCATTCTAATACATGCAGGCCTGGCTTATGCATGCAGACAATGTTTATTAGAAAGAAAATATTTCTCACTGCAATGAGAGAGAAATGTTTTGAAATCTGTTTCTTTCTTAGGTACTGGATGCTTTTATAGTATAATTATTTCATTTCTGAACTTCGTATATTAATCTTTTCTCCAACCACTCCTAAGCAAACTGGTGAGCTGGAAAGTGCAAAAGGCTTCAGAGTAGATCTTCTGCAGCAGTGATAGAGCAGTCAGGAAAACAGCAGATTCTCAAAAGTATGAACCAAAAGAGAAAGGAAAATAAAATGAAAAATAAAAAGAAAAAAAGAAGAAAAAGAAAATGAGAAAAAATGGTTTCTTTCCATCTTTTTAAAATACATCTATAGAATTTCTCAAACTTTTGCAAGCATTAACCAGTCAAATAAAATCTGAAAAGTCTTGCTACCTGGCCATAGTATAAGTGGCCTATTTGTCTTTTTCAAAGTTTCACAGGACCAAATCTGTCATCCTCTTTTTGTGGAGATTTTGTGGAGAAAACAGTTTTCTCTAGATACAAGTATGCAGATGCACATAAGGGACTCCTGTGACTTCAGAGATTGATAAACTGATAAGGATCCATCCAGGTCTCCATGACGTGCTCACAGGGTTTCTGCACCTTTCGGCGCATTAGCTGGAAAATTCCAGCGCACTGACCTAACACTGACTCTTCACTGTGAAAACACAATGGAATCCATCCTTCTGTCACGGTCAAATTGCACAAAAAAACCCCCCTTAGTATATCGAGTCTCCTCTGAGTATTTAGACCAATTTACAAGGAACTATTTTGAGAATGAAGAATACTTTCTCTCTTCCCCCTCCTTTTCTCCTTCCTCCTTACAGAAACCCAACATAACTATCATCTCTCTTCTGTATAATACTCTCAAACACCACCCTCATTCTTTTCAGTGAGTCTCCTCTCTTTGTTACTTGGACAGGGACATGCTTTCTATTCTTTTACACCTAGTATTTACTGTTTGATGGTTCTGTCCACCTGCCCCCAAGTCCCCTATTGCACCCTGGCTTTCATAAAGGTGATATATGAGGTACTCTAGGCTCATGTTCGACATTAATAGTCATGTGAGATAATTGGGAGAGGGTGAGCATAGAGAGTTACTCTGAGTCAGAATCTATCAAAATGGAAAAGTATGACATTCCAGGCCAGCAGTTCAGTGAAATCTTGTATCTGAGAATATGTCAAGTGATATCCATCTTGCAGATTACTGACGTGATAACGGTTCTGATAATTGCTAGTTTTTATCTATATTACTGCCAAACTTGACAGTGCCAAAAAAAAAAAAAAAAAAAAAAAAAAAAAAAAAAAAAAAAAAAGAAAAGCAAACAGAAGCCCTGACAGGTTACTCTTCTCTCCAGCTCTTTCTGGCTTCAAGGAAAATCCAAATAAACAGACCAATTCTAAACATGAATAAAATTGGCTGGATTTAAGATGGAGAAATAGAACTGAGGATCTAAATTATTGCATAGGGATGCTTTCAGTTCCTAATCCCAGCTTCTACGAAAGCAGAAGTCTTATCTGAAGGGCAGAAACAACCACATAGTTACTAAAAATGGGCTTAATCTAGAGCTCTCTGAATTGCACAGAAGTTCGGTTATCTTCAGTACTTCAAATCTAAGTGTCATGTGAGAATTTTTTTTCTTATGACAGATTATAACCTAGAAATTCAAGTAATATTCAAAAAATTCATTTGGATCGTTTTGTGATAGTAGGCTGGTTCTTAGTAAAGAATTAGTATATTCATAAAAACAGTAGTTATTCATGATTTATTATTTAATGACTTGGAAACTGTAGGATGAAAGCGTATGTTTTAAATGTGGTAGCAACCACTTTTTTTTTGTTTTGGTTTGGTTTGGTTTGGTTTGGTTTTTGTAATGTTGTGTAAAAAGTTGTATAATGTAATCATTTAGTATTTATATTTCATTATGTATACCTTCTACTCAGAGGGTTGGCATTATTGTTCCTAACAGTGATGGATACAAGCAGATCATGCCCTATGACCTCTACCATCCCCTTCCAAGGTATGTAAAACAATCAACCAGATGCTAGGATTGGCTAATACATTTATTGTTTTTTCCTCTTCTCTGCAATTCTGCTTTACTCTCAAAATGAGATAATGCCTGCTGTTTTCTTTTTCCTGTGAACTCCTGCAGATTAGCCTAAAAATGTTCCACAACTAACCTGTTGTTGTAAATTCTATTGCTGCAGAACTGAAACAATATTCTAACTGAAGCAGTAGTGTGGCTTTATTAAGTGTGTGGTCCCTTTCTCTATCTTCCCACAGTATTCCCCCATCTCTTCATTTTTTTCTCTCACACTTTTCCCCTCCTTTACTCGTATCTGAACATGACTGTGCAATGAAATATCAGACCTTCTATCTCTCTGACGTTGCTGTTTCTTGCATGCTTATAAACCGTGAGATGTTGATTTCAGACAGTGTTGTGTCCTGATCCAGCAAACCTATGCTAAAGCCTTTCCCAGAGGCATTAATCTGTTGGCTTCTCTGGCAACTCAGAGATCAGGGACTGGAGTAGAATCAAGGCCTAATGCATATTATTAATTATCTCACAATTAAAATATCTTTAATGTAAGACTTGAGATTTTAATGAAAATAATTACATGAGCAATTACTTTTAAAGCAGGTAATAAGGCTGGTGCTGGTAAAAATGCTTGGTAAATGAGGGATAATAACCAGGTGGTTTTGAAAAACTGCTGGGACATGCAGTAGTATTCAGTTAATTTATTGTGTCCCATGATATCTATTATGCTACAGAAAAAAACCTCCACCATAACACTAGTCTCATCTTGGTGAGGAAATGGTCTCCCTCAAGTCACTGTGAGGATTTCCTTCATAATTGTACAAATGCAGTGTACTCACATTTGACATAGGGTCTATAGCAAATCATAAGCCTATCCAAAACTGACTGAAAAGATAAGAAGGAGAGTAGCTTATTTGACAAACCAGCTGCCATTCATATTAGCAATCTTTATGAGTGATGAGTCATTTCTAAGTGTATATAGGTTGCTCTGAAAGTATGCCTCCTAATTATTTCCATGGAAACAACAACAGGTGCAAATAGCACAATAACACTTTTTGATAGAGCAAGTTTTCAGCTACAAAACAGTTTTTCAACATAACCACCACCAGAAGCACTGCATTTTCCTCAGTGATGAAAAATGCCTGCATGCTTCATTTGTAACAGTGTGCACCAGTGGAGGTGACCCTTGTCACTGTTGCCACTGCTGAAATGCACAATCCACCACCTCACTGTGCTCATATCCTGTGCTTGACCTCCATAAACATTCACAAATGTTGGTGAATGTCATTGGGTGCCATTTTCCAGTTTTGGGCCCCAGTTTTGGGCCCCTCACTGCAAGAAAGATATTGAGACCCTGGAACGTGTTCAAAGGAGGGCAACAAAGCTGGTGAGGGGTCTGGAACACAGACCATATGAGGAGAGGCTGAAGGAGCTGGGAACGTTCAGCCTGGAGAAGAGGAGGCTCAGGGGAGACCTCATTGCTCTCTATAACTTCCTGAAGGGAGGTTGTAGTGAGCTGGGGGTCATTAGTGATAGGACCAGGGGGAATGGCTTCAAGCTACGGCAGGGGAGATTCAGGCTGGACATTAGGAAGTATTACTTTTCAGAAAGGGTGGTCAGGCACTGGAATGGACTGCCCAGGGAGGTGGTGGAATCACCGACCCTGGGGGTGTTCAAGGAAAGGCTGGATGTTGTGTTGAGGGACATGGTTTAGTGGGAGCTATTGGGAATAGGTGAACGGTTGGACTGGGTGATCTTTTAGGTCTTTTCCAACCTTGGTGATTCTATGATTCTATGATTCTATGATTTTTTCTGCACGGAGGAATTCAGTGCCACACCTTTGCTTCATATGCACTTCCATGACAGATGCCACTGTGTCAGAGTGCCCCTCTGCTGCCATCTGTCAGCAGCAATAACAGTAATAACATGTAGTGGACTGCTGGTGGGAAGGTTCAGCCTCTACTGCCATACCACCAACATCTACTTCTGGTGTTGTGGGCCAGTGTATTAAAATAGAAGACGTTACTTTCAGAGCAGCCCTTGTATGTCCAATAAATGTACTTAATTTCCATAATTTTCAGATTATATTTTCTGTGCTCTGTGCTTGCCTGTTGGCAGCTAAATGCTTGGGGGTGCATACATAGATTCATTATTACTACTCATGAGATGTACTTATAAAATTTAATCCTGCCTTTCATTCCTTTTTTTTTCTGGAAAACATTTTTCTGCATTTTTTATTAAAAAATAAACACGTAACTATGAACCTCAAAAATTAAGCCTCCGTTGTTCAAGAATACAGAAGCTTGAATATTCATACGGCATATAAGACTAGCTTTGAGAGTGCTATATTTTATTTCCACTGTGTTCAAAGGCTTTGCACACTGACAAAAACAAGCATGTATCAGTGGATGATTCAGCAGCACTCAACAGTGGAAGGATTGTATTTAAGGAAAAAGCATCCTGAGCTGGCAGCTGGGCAGAGGCTTTTTTGCGTCTGAAGAAAATCCAAGATGAAGGATCAAAATGCCCTGAAGTGTTTGACTTTCATTAACACTGAAAGTGATCAAAAGCCTGATACTGTTTCTCAAGCTTTTCTGTATTATGGGCTCACCCCACAACAGTTCCTTTACATCCACTGACCCGGCCACTCTTTTTTCAGCTTTTTTACCAGCAGCTCAGGCTGCAACTGCTGGCTGAGTCCTTTACCCCACCTTCCACTCAACATCTGGTCCTGTGAACCCACAAACAGGGCTCATGTCTCCCTCCCTCACTCCCAGAAGGAAGACACAGTGGCAGGTCTCTTCTCCAAGCCTCAGTGGCAGAAAAAATAGACACTGATTAGACCACAAGGTTGGCATGAGTCAGGGCCAGGGCAGAAGGACAAAATATTCCTCTCAACCCACGTAGCTTAGGAAAAAATTAAAAAATAACATAAAAATCCCACAAAGGAAACAAAAACACACACACAAAAAATGGCCCCAGTCACACTATCTGTCTGAGGCTGACACCTGATACTGGGGACAGAGGAGAGTAGCAAACTTTAGGAGAAGTGGCACTTTAGGAGAAGTGAAAAGGAAATTTGGGAAAGTGTCTGTAAGATTTACTTACTGCTCTCTCTGCATTGGGTTTTATCACGAAAGAAAGGTACAGTTCTGTGGATACAGCGCTCGCTTTGGTGCACTGCCACATCCTCTCACAAATCCTCAGTCAGTACTGCCTGTTTTGTAACTTGAAAGGGTTTCACCTTTAAGAGCTGTGTGGCTGAGAACTCTTTTCTGTCTTACACACATATAAAACCCGAGGAACAAACTGCTTGCCTAGATTAAGCATCTTTGTATTGCCAAGGTTGCCAGAGGCACCCAGCAGCCTTTCCCAACAACTGCAGAGAATTCTAGCCACAGCAACCCTATCCCAGGCTCAGGTTGATGGCAAGAGTTTCTGCTGCTTACCAGTTTCAGTTTGAGCTCTCTTCAGTTACATTTGTGATAGTTAGAAACCTTATCTGGAAAACTTGTCCCAAAAATCCACAGGTGTCACGTTTGAATTAAAAATGTCACAATACATATCTGTGACATATGGGGCTTATAGGGAGCACACCATGACATGGTGTAAATATTGTTCTACCACTTCTTTGTGTTCACACATAGAACTAGTTGATGGCTTTACCATTCATAAACAACTATCAACATGAGCCACTTCACACAGTGTCTTAGAGCAGCTCTAGCCATTATCCAAGTTCAGGTTGTGCATAAATATACTGGAGCTGATAGGAATAATATGGGCTGATACAAGGAAAAATCGGAGGGAAAGATAGATTTATTTCATATTGTCTAACAGCTTTGGTGAACATGTAAGTTTTAATTAATGAGACTAATTACTTTGTTATGACTACAAGAAAAACATCACTTATAGCTATTGTAACAGAGGTCCTGGATCTTCTCTGTGACAGCAGCTTGAATAAAGGGAGGAAATACCAGTCTACATTTTATGCAAACAGAAATATATGCATATAAAACAATGCATACATTATTGTGTATGCATCATTATAGGAGGTGGAAAAAAAAACCCTTATTCGTGGCTTTTTTGGAGCATACACATTGCTGTATGGATTTGTCATTACAATGTTCAAATGGCACCTGTTGAAAAAAATAGTGTCTGAATTCTTCCCCCTGCTTCAGGTCTAAGAAGACAAGGCTTATGTAATTCATCCATCCGTCTATTTATCCATCTATCAATATAGCTTCTTCTCTTTGAAAGTTTCCTCCAATCTTATTTTTTTTCTCCATAACTCAGTTTTTCACCTGAAGGAAGCACTGCTATTTTTTGCCTGTTCTAGCAAAAGTAACATAATAAATTCAGAACGAACTGAACCTCTAGTAATTTGTAGTAATTTGTAACAAAGATTTCTCAGAATGTGTCATATTGTTAAAATATGATAATTGCATCAGCTAAATAAAAGAGATTGTAATAAAATTAGTAGTTACAGAGTTAATGTGGAAAGGAGGTTTTACATTTAAGTTGGTAAATTAAAGATTGCGCCCATCAGAGTGCTTTGTTGATATCACCACTTGCATGTAATTTTTTCTGAGGGCAGAAGTCTGAAGTACAAGAAAAACAACTGCAGGTAACATTTTATGCATTTATGGGGCCAGTAATGGGGGCATCGGGTTCCTTTTGTTGACTCTTCTGTATCACATTCTGCTTTTTCCCAGATGGGAAAGTACACCCTGGACTGCCTGCTCCTCATCCTGCGGAGGGGGGATTCAAAGCCGCAGTGTCTCATGTGTGGAGGAAGACATTCAAGGGCATATTAGCCCCGTGGAAGAATGGAAATGCATGTACACTCCAAAGATGCCTCTTGTCCAACCTTGCAATATATTTGACTGCCCAAAGTGGCTTGCTCAGGAATGGTCACCGGTAATCTGTTTCACTTTGATGATTTTGTATTTTGTATACTGAAAACACATCTTCAGTGCAGAGAATAATAGTTTAGTGAGCTTGTTGAATTAGAAACTTTTATTATTTTCCTTTCTCTGTTTTAAATCACTCTATTTGTCTAAACACAAAGCAAATTCAAAGTCTGTGAATTTAAGATTTAACAGGGTTATGGAGAAAGATGGAAAAATAAATCAGATTTGAAATGTTGATTAGTGATCCTCTACTAAGAATAGACTGAGAACGTAAATGCACACAAAAAAAGCAGTAAGCTGATCATGATCAGGTAACAGCATCTTTTCAGCCCAAAATTGTGTGTCATAAATTTCTAATAATTTTCTAAAAATTTATAAACCCGTAAGTGACTGGGTTTTTATGCTTATTCTTTGTCCCTGACTCTCCTTTATTGTTTCATGCAAGAAAATTCCTGTTTTTTCTAATATTGAATTCAGGTTCTCACCACCCCAGTTTTTCTACAAGCGAGATGAGTTCTTGGAAGTTAAAATATTTTATCCACAGATGAGGTGTTCTTTATTGATTGCAAAGTGTTCAACAAGCTGCTATCTAAGAACAAAGTAATGCTGTTCGTATCCATAGACCTTCCCACTGGTTGCTGGGTTTGATCTTGACCCATCCAACCACTTTTGAAATAACCCTCATGGGGGAAAGAGTGATGTACCTTAGCAAAAATAAATGAAAAAAGACGTAAGAAAGTGTCTTTGGGAAGAAAGCCTGAATAATTTCCCTTTATGTTTGATGCCATGTTCCAAAATAGCTGAGTGTCACCTCTCTTAACACATAAGCTTCAGTACTTCGTCCAAGCAAAGCAGAGTGGCTCTAGATGAAGCTGACAGGGTGTTACTAAGCATATCCATTTTGGGATGGATGGCCACAAGCCAAGTAGTGCACACAAGCCAGTGCTGAGAATGTGCACAGCAAAAGAATTCCAGAGGCTATACTTCCAAGCCAAGTATATGTGCAGACCAAAAAGGCAAGTATTTGTGTTGATTTTATGTGTTATCCATAACTGCTAAATATTACAAATTTTACATGAACATGGTTAGTGTTTCTGCATCACCTTTGCCCTTGATGTACTTCTGTTGCACATTCTCTTTTTATGTATTACTCCTACAACATACCACAATCATCCTTTCATTTCTCCTCTTTTATTTTTCCAGTGCACTGTGACCTGTGGACAAGGGCTCAGATATCGTGTGGTCCTTTGTATTGATCACAGGGGGATGCATACAGGAGGCTGTAGCTCTAAAACAAAGCCGCACATAAAGGAAGAATGCATAGTACCCACTCCTTGTTACAAACCCAAAGGTAATTAGAGAAAGATTCTTATGAATTTTTGTGTCTGTATGCTGACTAAATTACAGAAATTTCTGGACTACAGAAATGTAAGTGATCTTAATTTCCCTAAATTTGAGCCATAAACTCTACCATAAGAAAAGAATCAGTCCCTTTTGAAAAATGAATTGATATCTTGGTGAATATTAAGAGCATTTATTATGTGAAATAAGCGTGACCTGATGATAATCCAGGATGGAAAAGTGAAATTTAGAATTTTAATTTCTGTGCTCACTGCCTTATGACAGACAAACTTGTCAATTTGCAAGGTACCAGTTTATCTGGAGCATGGGACTTCACTGTATCTGCCAGACGCCAAAGTGGCAAAACTCAGATGCTGGCCTTCAGGAAAGCAAGGGGTATTTTGCACTGTGTTCTGCTGGAGCACATGAGCTCGCTCAGTCTGCATCCCAGGATGAATAAAAGGCTCTGCTACCATGACTGAGCTTCATCTGGAGCTGCAGCAGCCTTGCGCTCAGTTAACCAGCTGAATCTGTGAGGCTTTATCCATTTATCACATTCAGAGCCCATGTAAAGAAAGCTGCTGTCTGCCTGCAGCATGCAGTGTAAGCAAAATGCATTAAGATGCTGAAAACCAGATGATGCATACCACCCGCAAGTGAGTTCTGCCTAGGGAATGTGCCTAGACCAATTGGGGAGGTTTGCTTGCATCTGTCAAGACATCTCTTCCAAAGGGATTTGTCTAGTAATTCCACATGGCTGTTTCCTGGAGGTATGCTCTTGCAACTTGCTGTCATCTTTACCAATTCTTGTGCTGCCCTTTGCAATACATAACATCATTAAGGTCTGAGTAGACATGACTCTCACTTTCTCCCATTTTCTCCCATGGGATGGAAAGCTCTTTATGAAACATGGTGTGTTGCTAGGATTTGATTTTAGTTTTCATCTTGGTTCTGTAATTTTTCCTCCACAATGCAAGAGGTAATATTTGAAGGCACATGTACCTGAAAAGTAAATCATGCTTTCTGAAAAGAGCTGGGCCAGATGGTCTCCAGAGATCTCTTCTAATACACATTATTCTATTTATGTGATGGAAGTTTGTCCTTTTTTATGTCTTGAATTTAGCATTATAAATTTAAATTTAAATTCAATTGTTGTAGTAAAGTACTTCAATTCTGTTGAATGTTTTAATCTTAGTTTGCTTTTTCCTTCCATACCTGGAATAAAATAAAGCATGAAAACAATGTTCTTAGCTGATTGAAAAAGCAAAACAAAGCATGTGGAATACTCTTTTTAACACTCTTTACAAAAGAAAACCAGAATGCAAATAATTTATGTAATTTATTTCTTTTTCTTTTATTCATGTACTGAGGCACTTTATCTTACAGCAATAATGCAAAAATACAGGATAACCCTAGATTAGATTAAGTACTAGATTAAGTACTAATTTGCAATTTTTATTGAGAATGTGAATTTATTTAATAAAACTTTCTGTAAAATGTAGGATCTAACGTTTTTATACTCTCCTATAAAAGTAGAGATTTTACTTTAATCTCTAAAATTAAAAGCTCTTCATTAGCTTATTTTAGGAATGAATTTCACTCATTTTTTTGTCAAAGCATACTGTACAACATCAGCATTTCTCATCCTCCAAATTATTTTACAGCATAAATGGCAATTAATTTTATCTCCTGCTGAATGCACATTTTTTAAAAACAAAAGTTATTTAAAAAGTCACATAGCAGACAACTGTACGTGACAGCTTTTGCTTTTTACAAGCACTTGAATCCGAGGGAAAAAAAGCATAGAAGTAATATCTGGCTTTCCAAAACTCGTAAAGTGGGCTACAGTGCATATAAATAGAACTATCTCCTACATATTTTGGATAACAAAAGTGGTAAAATATAGATTAAACTAAGAACAATGCTGGCAAATATTCATCTTCAAATGGTACTAGTAAATATATTAGAGTAAGAATTTGGCAAGATATTTCTGGAAGAGAGGCACAGTTATTAAACTGCTGTCCTTCTTTCCTCAGTTAACATCTTGCTCCAAGAAAATTTGCTTGACAAAAGTTGCAGTAGCTGTGAAATCAAGTTGTTAATCATTTTTCCTCTGTGATAAAACAGTTTGGAAATTTCATGTGCATGCATGAAAGGTTCCTTCTTATTCACGATGAAGTTATTGAAAAATTTTAAATATTCTGAATGACATTAATCTGTTCCTGATGATGAGTATAAATCTACACATTACCTAAATCAAAAAGTTTAGGTGGTTTGTTAGTGGCCAATAAGCCTGGTCCTGGTTTTCTTCCATGTTCCGAGTTTCATTATGCTGTATTTGTGTCTTTTTCTTTATCCTGACCCAAAATATTCGGTTAATATGCAGAGCTTGTTTTCAAATTATGATGCCAAACTTGCTCTTACGTTATGCCCCTGTAGAGTTAAAACAGCTCCACTGCCTTCAGCTGAAATGCTCCACTTTGACATTGCATGAGAGCAGAATTTGGCTGAAAGAGTTGAATGGCCCTGCACTCCCCAGAACAGTGCAACTAATTATGTTGTGTTCATATCCTGGGTAAGAGAAAAAACAGCCACACTGTTTTTCATCAGAAATGACAGAAAAAGTATCAAGCTCATTTTTTAAATCCATATAGCTGATGAACTGATAAAGTTGAAAAAGTATAGCTTGACCATTTCATTACAGTTTCTCGGTTTTTTGGGTATCGCTCATCAAATCAGGATTTTCTTCCTTTTTGACATCTATCAAAAGGAGGATTAAGGCATCCTCTGAAATTCTAAAATTCAAGCATAAGCAAAAGGATATTATATGTTTTGCCTTCAGAGCATCAATGGAGGTCATTACACTTCCCAGTCTCACTCTGAAAAATACTTGCTGAAGTGTTCAGTTTAGTAGCCCAGTTGCATCATCTGTAAAGTAACTATCTGGTCATAAAACTAATCTTGTGACCTTTATAATCCAGCTGACAACTGCGTAATAACAATTCCATAATTCTGTCCCTCTCCTCCTTTCTCTTCTTGAGCTCAACCTCAGCTCAAGAAGAGGCACGTGTATATTCCAAGCACCAAGTGAAAAAGCAAAGGCTGGCACACATGGGAGCATTGCTGCTGCATGGTTTCTGTTTTCATGTACTTGCATTTGTTCTGTAGAGAAACTTCCCGTGGAAGCAAAGTTGCCGTGGTACAAACAAGCTCAAGAGCTGGAAGAAGGAGCAGTGGTGTCTGAAGAACCTTCGTAAGTCTTAAAAAAATTTTCACAGCAGGCACGTGTGAGATGAGATCTGAAGCCTGTGCTGAATTGACATGGTCTCTTGAAATTATATTTGGCTTTTATTAGAGGATAAAGGCCAAATCTAGCCCCGTGGAAATCAAAGGACTTAAGGCTGTGTCATATTTAGGTGTGAAGAGGCAGAGTTTAAGAGGACAAATGCACACTGAATTTGAACAAACACATTTATGTTTTATGTAAGTTCATTTACAGTGATATTACAGTAAGATTCTGTCTGCCTGAATTAGTTTTACAATCCCCACTACCACTGTATCTCAGCGTTCAGCACCTTTATTTACTGTCACAATACTCCTGTGTAGTAACAGGTAAAATATAGGGCAGTCAGTGAAGGAATCCTCCCCAGGAATGGTGTAATATCAGTTACAGATGTGAATTAATTTTAACAGAAAATAAACTAGAACCCGAGAGCTGTGGCTTGTATTGCTGTATTTCCACTTACCTTCTTTCATGGATTTTCCCCTCCTTGTTCTTCTAGACTCTGAACAGTCTTTTCCTAGCCATTTTTGCAAAAGTGATCTGTCAGTACCTTGTTTCCCTTTAGTATCTATCTCTTCTTCCTGCTGTGGAACCTTTTGGATAGCAGATAGACCTATTTACATAGACTGAAAATCCCTCCCCCTTCCCTTCCCTTCCCTTCCCTTC